AGGAGGTTATGGTTGTTGGTTGCCAAATGGTGGTCAACGGTAGTGATTCACAACAGTTACCAGTGGTTCTATGGCGGAACATTAGTGTAACGATGGTGGTGTTTCAAAATCAGGAGGCTTGGACTGTGAATTGGTGTAGATGAAGTGGCCCCTTTTTTTTATCAGTCGTATCCTACCGTCTGTTTAGGAAGAAAGTAACACCTTCCTATACGAGAGAGAGAGAGAGAGACAGAGACAGAGAGAATGTGGGTCCCTTCTTGATTTGATTTAACATTTATGTTTAAATAAAAGAAAAAAATAATTAAGTAAATGGAAAAAACCAATTAAAAGGGCAAAGTCGTTTTTCAAGTTTATCGGGGACCAGTTTTACAATGAAACTAGCCCAAAAGGACCACGAATCAAAAAAACTCGTGGTTTGGACCAAAACCCAAAAAAAAAATGCATACCACAGGGACCATTTTTGCAATTTTGTCTTTAAGTATTTATATGTATTTTTTTTAAAGTATTTTACATATTTTTTGTATATTTTTATGTATTACATATTTATATGTATTTTTACTTATTTATTTATTTTTTGGGTCTTTTATATAGATGTTTATGTATTTTAAAAGTATAATCGTATTATTTTTACATATATATGTATTTTTTACTTCAAGTTGTCTTCACCATTTCTTCTAATTCACACAGCTTCTTCAAGTATGTCTAGATGGTTTTCCTACATACCCACATATTTTAACCTTTTACCGTGCGATGTTTAATTTCAACCATCTAGACATAGTCGAAGACGTTGTACGAATTGGATGGAATAGTGAAGAAAACTTGACGTAAAAAATACATAAACATGTAAAACAAAATACAGTTATATATTTTAAATATATAAACATCTATATAAAAAACTTTAAAAAAATCCATAAATACATAGAAATTCATATAAATACATAATATATAAAAAAACACATGAAAAAACATAAAAATATGTAAAATAATTAAAATACATATAAATACGTAAAAAATGCATTTATACATTTGAAATACATAAATATACATAAACATTTATATAAAAAACTTTTTAAAAAAATACATAAATACGTAATACATAAAAAATAACACATAAAAATAAATAAAAAATATGTAAAATACTTAAAAATACATAAAAAAAATACGTTTATAAATTTAAAATACATAAAAATATAAACATATACATATAAATAGATAAAAATATGTTTATATATTTAAAATATATAAAAATACGTAAACATATACATAAAAAACTTAAAAACAATACATAAATACGTGTGTGTGTGTATATATATATATATATATATATATATATATATATATATATATATATATATATATACAAGTTTTGATGAAATCTGTAGAAAAGTTCCATTATTTTTGAAAATTTAACGATTTGGTCTCATGACCTGTTGAAAAGATAAAAAATGATTAAAGTGAATAAATTAGACGGTTTCTTGAGTTTTTTATTCAAAAAGTTAAAAAGTCATGCCTTTTTTGTTCAAAAAATAAATTTAGCACTTTGGTAAAACTTTTTTCAAAATATTGAGATTTTTCTAAAGATTTCTCGTTATGTTAATGAGCTTATGATTTATGAACATGATTTCAAATGAATTAGAATGGATTTGAAAATGATTAAATGCTTATTTCTAAAACGTATGTATGTTACAATACAGAAGTCTAATGTATTCTCCTTATTTTTAAATGACATGTATTCAGGTACCCAAAAATATTGTAGTGATTTAGTATTTTCTTGATTTTTAAATGACATGTACCCAAGAAATGTTGTAGTGATTTAGTTTCACTAGCATGAATTTTAGGATACTATAAGACTTTTCATTGGAAGATAGCTGTGTAAAATAAGATCTTTTTCCAAATATTGTAATTATCACCTCAATGATATAGTAAATTGGTTTTCCGCATCCCCAAGTTATGGTTTTTCCCAATTCCCTGTCAGTTTCCACATAAGGTCTTGGTGTCATCTTTTATTATTTTTGTTTCTATACAATTATTGATAAAAAACAATCAGTTTTTTGTTTAAATAATTATCGTACAACTTGTTTCAATGTGTGTTCCTGGTGGCATTTGTATTTCTTGTTGATTTGGTTTCTTAGTTATAAGTTATAACCAAATCATTGTGTTTATATAGTTAACGGGGAGTACTAATGTCAATTAGGCTAGATATTAAATTTTCTTTGGGAGGAAAAATTACAACCCTCCATCTTTTTGTAGTCTTTGTACCACCATATATAAACTGTCCCACATGGAGTCCAATTTTTTTTGCTGCATACACCATTTTTAAGCTATATGAAAAAAATAATCATTCGTTATAGTTTTTTTCACATGCATTATGTCAAAGAAGTGAAAAGTGGAGTTTGGACGAGGGTTGTTGGCAATGAAAATAACGGACGGTTTCGTGTCCATGTAAATATTTAATTTGGGTTTTAATTTCACACTTAAGAAATTAAGTACATCATTATTTAATAACTATAACTTTTTCTTTATAAACAACATGTTATGATATAAACATCTATATTTTATAACTAATTTTATGATAAATGTCTTAAAGAAGTCAATTACTGTCCAAATTAGCAACAAATATAAGTTTTTCCGCTACTTTAATTCCCTTTTTTTTACTTTGTTAATCATTTTCTCTTCTTTTCCATTTCATTTAGAGTGTTGTTTCTGTGCAATAATGTCTTTCACTTTTCAATTCCCCGTTGATTGGCTAGTAGCTTTCTTATAATCTGGTACATATAGTGGAAATTCCCCACCATGATAAAATTGCTCATGTCGTGAGCTAAAACCGAGAAATGGGTTGTTAAGTAACAATTACAGTTGTTGTCTTCAGGTCAATAATCACCCTGGTCAGTATTGGAGGAGCTTGCAACTCTTTTATCTTTATTAACTTTCTTGGCTTACACTTGAAACACTCTACGAAAACCAAGTTATCAGAATATATATATATATATATATATATATATATATATATATATATATATATATTGGTTCCCTTGAGATAAATAAAAAAATTAGAGATTGTGAGATATGTGTATAACCGTTTGATGTGCTTATGTTTGTTTCTAAAACGATGCGGTGACATATTTGTAATTATATTGATAACTTATTAAACTAACGCTGTTAATTTAAGATTGTGGGGCTATTGTTGTAATTTTACAAAGATTGATATGAATTTTGCAGGCTACGATACTGTAACCGCCTATGTCTTTCTTTTCTTTCTCGATCAAAGTCTCACTTCGAACTCTCAGAAACCCTCTTTTTCTTTCTTTATCGCATTTTGCCCTAGTTTTCGTTTCTTACCTGTTCCTGAGAAATCAGTAAATGTCTTCAGGAGAAAATATAAACGAAGTCGCATCTTCGTTAATCGAAATGAAATGTTAGAATGCGAGTTATTTTTCATTTGATTGATAATGCATGTTTTTATTAATTAGTTAACTGTAGTTTTATGTTGATAATGATGTTTTTTTGTTTTGATTCAGTAGGTTTTTCTTCATTTTAACTTTTCGTCATTTTAACTTGATTTTGATGATTGTCTCGTTTAGAGTTGATATGTTTTTTATTATGTTTGTTTGTGGTGGTTTTTGATGTAAGTTTTTGTTTATATTTTCACAGATAAGGATTTCAAAAGAAACTATGTTCGGAAAAAATTCAAAAATTAAAAAAATTATCGAATGCAGTAGAAGTGCTGTTATTTCCGAAGGTACAGTTCAAAAAAAATCATCTATGATTAGAAGTAGAAATAAACATATAACTTAATGTTTGAAGGTATTTGTTGTAATCATAACTGATTTTGTGATTTTTTCAATATATTGAACATAACATTTAGTTGTATGTTTATTTGTAGTTTTAATCATAAATGATTTTATACGTTTGTTTATAATCATTGGTAAATAGTAATGATAAATGTATTTTTATTTATCAAACATGAATATAAAGTTAATTTTGTAATCATAACTAATTTTGTGGTTCTTTTAAGTGGATTGTATATAACATTTAGTTGTATTTTTATTTCTTGTTCTAATCATAAATGATTTTATACATTTGTTTATAATCATTAGTGAATAGTAATGATAAATGTATGTTTTTTATTTTTTACTAACACTATGTTTGTAATGAAAATTGTAGTTAAAAAAGGGAATGTAGATAGCTCAAGGAAGACACGATCATCTTCCAAAAGAGAAAAGGCGAATGAGGTGTTGCAAACACGTTCAAAGACATAAAAAAAACAGTTATTGAACAACCAAAAGTGAAGCTGAGGGTTAAGGTCAAAACTGTAAATAAGAAATGTGAACTATTTGATGAAGATGATTTAGATTTTCAGAGTCGTCCTAGATCTTCAAAGAAACCGAAGAGAGAAACTAAAGTTTTGAAGAAAGATAAAAAAGTTGTTGTTATAAAAGAATTTCCTTCATTGAATAATAGATGTTTACCCGGGCCATTGTTGGGTGTTATTCAAGTTTTAAGTAGAGAACAGAAGGATTGTGTTAGGGCTATGGGATTTGGGAGTTTGTTAGGGATGAAGATGATTGACGTACCGTTGAAGATTGTTTATTATGTTCTTGATCATTTTAATTTTGAAACTTTGAAGGTGGAGTTTGAGAATTGTCAAGTTAGTGTTGATAGTAAGTCTGTTCAAGAGATGTTAGGATTACCATCTGGTGTCTCATTACTTTCAAACATGGATTACATTTCGGAATAATAAAGAGAGTTGTATGTTTGAGTGGAAGAAACAGTATGAAAATATTGATAAATTGAGATTGAAACATCTAAAGAATGAACTTGTTCGAACTAGTGTTGCGGATGATAACTTCAGAATCAATTTTTTGGTTCTTTTTATCAATACTTTCTGTGAGTCTACAAGCATGGGTAAATATAATCTGAATCCATTGCATTTAATCAGAAGAGATACTGATTTAAGTAGCATTGACTAGTGCGATTACATTGTTGATTGTTTGGTAAGGATGAAGAAGGTTTACAATCCAGAGAAAGAATCTTCTTTCTTTTATGGACCAGCAGCATACCTTATGGTACGTGAGTTATTTTTTTATATTAATTATTCTTTTTAGTTGTAAAAACATGTTTGTTTTTATAATAAATCACATATGATTTTATTACATATAATCATATATGATTATATAGTATAATTTTTGTTTAATTATATATTACACATCAAAATCATATATGATGTTATATATGTTATGATGTTATATATGTTTTTTGTAGTTGTTGTATGTGAATACTTTCAAGTTTGATCATTTGCAAGTCACACGTAAACGTCCAACTGTTTTTTATTGGACGTCAGAGAAGATAAGGTTTCTTGAGGATATTTTACAAGAGAGTGGAGGATTTGGATGTGGACATGTTAATGAAGCATATGTTGAAGAAGAATTTCAAGAATCTGAGTATAATGAGGAGGAATCTGGTGGTGATGAGGATGAATCTGATGGTGAAGAGGATTTATGTGATGAGGATGAATAAGATTTTGATGTTAATAAAGTTAGTGTTGTGGAGGTAATTCTATAGTTTTATTCATTTATGATTTAATTAGTTTATTCATTTATGACTTTTTATGTTTAAGTATTTTAGTTGTAAGTGTCTTTTTTCTTATGTAGATGTATGAAAGTAAAATTTCATGTATGTATCAGAAGATGGAGGATTTGAAAAAGGATCTTGTTGTAAAGATAGATGAGGGAGTGTTGAAGTTTCCTCAAATTCAAAATTTGAAAAATTGGAAATTATTATTTCCTGTTGAAGATTTAAGCACAGAAAATTTTGATTTCCATTATGTTTCATAAAAAAGTAAAGAACTGATATTGACACCTGGTTTTGTTCAAGTTAATGATGAAGATTATGGGAATGATTTTCTTAATGATGATGAAAATGTTGAAGATTATGATCAAGGGAAATGTTCTGGTGGTCATGGGGGTGGAAGTGGTCCACATGAGGGCAATATTGGTAAAGGTGATGATGTTGATAAAAATAATGATTTGTTGAGTGAGAAAGAAGATGAAGATGATGAACAAGGAAATGGAAGTGGATGTAATAAAGAAGAGGCCATGAATTTAAATTTCGTTGTTGAAAATGTTACTAAGAGTGTGGGTCTAATTGATAGCCAGGAAGGTGTATCTTTTGGTCAAATTATTTGCGATCCAATTGTTGAAAGTTTTCTTAAAACTCTGGATGAAGGTAGGCATATATTATTATTATATATAGTTTAATCATATATGATTTTAATGTTTTATATTTGAATTTTATAGGTACTGATGGTTGTATAAATCATAAACAAGTTGAAGATGATGTGAATGAGAATTTGACTGGTTTTGATGATGGTAAGTATTTATTTATGTATTTTTAATACATAATATATATATATATATATATATATATATATATATATATATATATATATATATATATAACTATGTTATATAGATGATTCAATTATGATTTTAATAATTTAGGGACTGTAAATTTGGGTGAGGATGATCATAAGAAAAAAGTAATTTCAGATCATACTGTTGATAAAGTTATTGTAGCAAAGAAGGATGGAGAAGGTGAAGATGTTGAAGTTCATTTGGATTTAGCGAAAGAAATAGAAGATTGTTCAAATAAAAATAAAGATGGAGGTAATTTGTTTATAATTATTGTTTATTCATATATGATTGTGTTTATAATTATTGTTTATTCATATATGATATTTATAATTTTATTGGGTAGAAACTGTTGAAGATAGTTCAAATAAAAACAAGGATTCAAATGAGACTCAATCATTGAAAAATTAAATTGTTCCAAGTTTTAGTCTTGGATTTAGTCAAGATTCTGAAGGTTCCAAGAAATCATCTCAAAGTCAAATTTCTTCTAAACGGATGACAAAGAAAAAGATTAAGGATAGAGTTTATCTGGGAAAACCAAGTGTCGGTCCAGAGTGTGTTATTCCAAATGTTGATGTTATTGATGCTAGTCCAGTTTCTTTTGCACCCCCTTTGGGTACATTAGAAGGACCATCAAAACCTGTTTCTAGCAAACCTAAAGATATAAATGAAGAAGCAACAGCCGTAGTGGATGTCAAAGGAAAAAGAGAAATGAAGTTTTCTTATGTTTATAAGTCACCATTTAAGGAAAGGTTAATTGATTTTAAACCAAGTTTGACACAAGTAGAAAATGTTGTTTGTGAATGGTTTTTCAGTCTTCAAGGAAATCCAGGGTAATTTTTTTAATATAATTTATTATTTTTATAATTATAATTTTTTATTTTAAATAACATTTAAATAAATATCTACAAGGATATCGTATTGCTTATGGAAACAGATGTTATTGGTTTTAGAGCTAATTATGAAATTCTTTATAAAAAACCTATTTGCATGTAAGTGTTCTTCATTTATGGTCTCGTATACTAAATCATCAAGAGAAATTCAGAGATGTTGTTAATTCTCTACTCAGATTGTTCATGAATTCTGATACTGTAAGTTTTTATTTTATTCTTTGCTTTTCATATTTTGATAACCATTAATATATTTTTTTTAAATATTTACATGTTATTATATAATCATTTATGATTTTCTTATATTATAGACTTTGTCATTTGAATATAATCATTTGAATGAAACTGCAAAATATAAAGCTTTCAAGGAGAATTTCTCTCGTAGTGTTTCTGGTGATAGAGACTTGAAGATTTTGAAGGATGTTTATATGGTATATTTATTTTTTTATACATATATATATATATATATATATATTAATGTTTTCGTTCTAATATTATACATGTTGATGTTAGGTATTTTTCCCCGTTTTGAGGCATAATCAAATATATCTTATTGTTATCAATCTGAAGAAACGTGCTTTTGAGGTTATCGATAATGGTGCAGATGATGTTGATTTCGATGATAAGTATGGTGCGGTTTTTAAACCTCTTGTAAGTTTCAAATGATATTTATTCTTTAGATTTGAAATCGTATATGATATGTTTTATAATTATTATACTTATATTTTTCTGGATTGAAATCATATATGATTTTCAAAAAAAAGTCTTTTTTGAAGTATCTAAAAGAGATCAATCATGTTAAAGCAAATGAAATGGATGATAAAAATCTTACGCCAATAAGATTGATAATGCCATGGAGGATAGTTTATAACGAAGTGAATTATGGAGTTTTTGTTATGAGACATATGGAGAGTTATTTTGGAGAAAAAGTTCTAAATGGAAATGTGGTCTTCCAAAAGAAGGTGCTTCTCAAGAAAATTTTTTGGAGAAGTTGAGAATGAAATATGCAGCAGCAATTTCAACTTCTGAGATTAATACAAAGCATGATGATGTGTTGAAAGCTGCATATAAGTATCAAAAATTTGATCCAAAGATTCGTGGTAAGCATGCATATGATGGTCAATGGAATATAGAAACAAGGTTGTCAAAGTTTTTTTGATTGAATATTTTCTTATTTTAGAAGTAAATGAATGGATGATGTTTTAAGAACAAGTTTGTTTATGTTGTCTTAGGCTATGGATATTTTGAGGAATGTTTGTTTTTATGGTGATGGAAAACAAGTTCATATGTAGTTTGGTGGATTTTATTATGTTATTGAATGTTAATCATAACTGATTATGTTATATTTTTATATGTAATTATGTTTTTAGTACTGATTATATGTTGGTTATATGTAATCATTAGTGATTGTATCACTTAATTTTTTATTTGTTGTTGTAATCATAAATGATTACATATGTTGTATAGCACATTATAATTTATTATATATTTTTATTGATAAGTGAGCTTATCTTTAGTGCATCGAACACATCACCATGAAGAATCTTATCTTTCTAAGATTTTACTTTTGTTTTTTAGTGTTTGTGAAGAATCTTTCGTTTATAAATCAAAAGGAATCATGTTTTCCATTGAGTTGTAATTTGTTTTTATCAAAGGGGTAGCCTCGTGGTACCCTTTATATTTGCTTATGCTTCTATAATGGTTAGTTTGTTATATTAATATCTACATTTTTTAATTTAATTTTTTTATATATCACAATTGATTATTTATGATGTAAACAACTTCCATTTCATTTCAGGTAAATTATGGACTCTATAAATGAAAAATAAATAATTTTGCTGTATCTAATAACATGTTTCCCATTTTTTCAAGATTCTTGTTCTTTTATTTGTAGCTAGATTTTCATACAGATTATATCTGACTCCAAGAACACCACTTCTCCCATTACTTAAAAAGTTTATCTGCATTGAACATATCAGATCTTTACTAGATGTATTTGAAGTATAGGAATGTTGTTCATTTAAAGAAGATTTCTTTTTAATGAACAATATTTCTCTAAATCAGATATGTAGTAAAGGTGTGTTATGTTCAATGGATATAATCTTTATAAGTAATGGTGGAAGTATTCTTGGAGTCAGCTACAATTTGTATAAAAATCTAGCTAGGAATATGAAGAACAAGAATCTTGTAAAATGGGGAACGTGATATTTGAGACTTGTGAAATTGTTTGTTATTGAAGATTTTATCATGTTTGATGTTATTCTATGATGATGAATATTGTTATCTTTAGATTTTTTATGAACAATGTTGTATATTTTTTAGGAACAATGTTGTTGTATATGGTTATATGTAATGGTTAGATGTTATTTATGTGTAATCATATTTTTAATCACTTATGATTAAACAAAACATATGAAGTAGTATTACATAATACTTTATGTTTATACAGATGAATATTGTATATGGTTGTGTGTAATGATTACATGTATTGAATAACAGTTTGTATGTAATCTTAAATGCTTGTACTAACATTTAATAGAAGTTTAATCATGAATGAATATATTATCAAATCAAAGAAAGGATTATCAAAGTAGATTAAATCCGATAGACAAAATCATAGTAAATTCTGTTTTATAAAAAGAGTAAAGTGTACTAAACAAAAAGTATATTATTTAGAAAAAAAAATTCATGACTTATTCATTACTGATTAAAGCAGTAATTATCTATGTAGCTTTTGATGATTGTTCTGCTGCAAGTTTGATTGGGCATGTTCGCAAGTTATGGGGAGCCCTTTCTCCACATCCTGAGTATCTTCTTGTTTTCTTGTTTGAATTTTTATACGCTATTTCTATTGCACTTTGAATTCTATTTTTCTTTCCACTTCCTTTATTGCTTTGAACATTTGGAACATTGATGTCAATGTCTTTTGGAATAGATATGCCCATAAGCTTTCCTACCTCTTCAACATCTGTCCTATTTTTCTGCAATTCATTTGTAGGATTGTTTTCATATTCCTTCAGCATGCTTTCTGTTTTCTTAACAAACAAATCCATTTTTTCTTTATTTTTTCTTACGTATTCCAAACATGCTTCAAAGTTGTAGTATGCTTGATTGACAAATCTGTTAATTTCACTATCTCCTGTATCATATACATGTCTACCAAAATGATAATGCTTTAATATCACATCCTTTCTCCAACGATTCTCAATGTACTGTTCAGGTATTTCCTTAATTCCATGTTTCATGAGTATGTTGAATGCATGTCTGCACAAAGTCCCAAAGCAGTTGAAGTGTTCACAAGTACATTTTACATCATTTGTTGGAAGTTTTATTTCTACCTGCTCAAAATAAAATTAAAGCATTAAGTGTTTTATAATCATAACTGAATATTTTTGTATATTATGGTCTGATTCAACAAAATTTAAAATAAGAATATATTACCTCAAATTCTGTTTTTAGATCTCTGTTTTTGTTCAGTTGTTCCACTTTGTATAACTCTCATCCATTTTTTGTTCCAATATGTTCGTATTGGCAGTACCAGGAACCTTTATAGATTTCTTTCTGTACTTCATAAAACAATGTACTTGTATAAACTTTTGCAACATGTTTTTCTATCAGTCGCAGTGAAATAAATTTATATATCGCCTTCTTTGTTTGATGATCAAGCTCCTTTTGTGTATTTCTTTATTTTTGAATTGTTGTGTCATAGTTCATCATGAAATGTAAAAGTAAATTTCCAGATTGAGAGTAAGTGTTGAAGAAGGAATTCATGCTTTCTGATCTTGAAGTGGTTTTCATCAATCCAGACATTCTTGTGTCACTGAAGTATGCAGGTATCAATTTGTCACGGAATTCAAACATATCATTGAACCATCTTTTATCTTCTAGATTGAATTCATTAATAATCAATTCCCACTTCTTTTCAAATTCATCAGGTTTGATATGCATGTTCCAAACAAGCTTGTTAAATCTCTTCTTGAAGTCTTTGTTTTTATATAAATCGTCAATAACCTATGAATTAACAATTTTAGTTATATAACTATAAATTATATACCTATTTGGATATATTATATACGAGTAATCATATATGATTAATCATATATGATTACTGTAGTGTAGGATATATCATATATGATTAATCATATATCATATATGTACTGTAATGTAGGATTGATCATATATGATTATATAATCGTATTATATAATCATATATGATTATATACTGTATCATCATATATCATACTATATAATCATATATGATTATATAGTATGATATATGATAACTTGTATTATTATAATCATATATGATTAATCATATATTATTATATAATCATATTATTAAAATACTTAATTATATATGATTATATCATACTATATAATCGTTTATGATTATGTAGTATGATATATGATAACTCATATTATTATAATCATATATGATTAATCATATATAATTAAGTATTTTAATAATATGATTATATAGTCATATATGATTATATATTGCATTATCATATTTCATACTAT